TACACTCCCTGTTGCTCTCTTAAATCATAGCTTTTGGTCAATTGTTTAATGCTTTGTGTGATATTTCAGTAAGAAATATAGTGCTGGCAATATTAAGTCTGTCGTCTTTTGTAAATTATTTTTGCTCTATCTGATGCTGTCTTTAGTTCTGATACAGCAAAATAAATAAATAAATAAAATAAAAATTAAATCTGCTAAACCTTTGAGGAAATTTTGAGTTGCATTAATACAAGAAGTAATTTTGTTTATAACACATAACATTTTATATCGTTCTTCCTTTCATGTCTTGTAATTTTCTGCCAAAGTGTACAGTTAACATTTGTGTTACGAATTTATCTTCGATTAATTCCTATGCTCATGATGATCTCCTAATGGTACTCTGTTTTTGGCCAAAATGGTCACAATATTATAAAAATCAAGAGTGTTAATCTAGAGAAGAGCTATAGAAACACAAAAAGCTCCTCTTTCCTTTAAACTACACTTCGATCTAAACAGGAGTAAAGAAAAGTAAGGCTTATCATTTATTACTTTAACATTGGGCAAATAATTATGCAAATGGAGTTGTGTCATTAAATTCCATTTGTGCCCAGAGGACCAGTTCTCAAATGCTGGTCCAGTCCTCCACTAGCAACTTGCTACTGGGCAAGTTCATTAATCTTTCTCAGGCTGACTTTTTCCATCTCAGGCAGAGATAATAATAACTGCCTTGTAGGGATATAGAGAGAACACACATGATAAATTTTAATCACCCTTAGTGCAGTGCATGGCATGTAGTAGGCACTCAACAAAGTTATTTTATGATGGAACATGGGATTTCATGCTATCATTAAATATTAACTCCAGTATGCATAGTTACAATTTAATTTCAATATTTAATTTGACATCATCTACTAAATTGGGATTTGCAAGGCTTCATCCAACAAGAATTGTTACAGTTACCATTGTCAAAACCGGGTAAAAAGGAAACATACACAGGTTGGTGATAATCATTTCTATTTTATGAATGTCCATGTTAGACCTGGCATGGGCTAGGATATACAAAAATATTATGTACTATGTGTAATTTTCCAAACAGCTCTGTCATTCAAGTATCCATGCGCCACATTTCATTTGAAGAAAACCATGTGGAGAAAAATAGAGCAGCAGGTCAAGTCTCACAGTGACTCAGAGGCAGAGTCCCTCTGACTCACCATCCTGCTTCTTCCACGTGCTCTGTGAAGCCACAGGCATGCGCAGACCTGGAGAGCAGCAGCAAGGGCTAGAGGACCCCAGATGCTCCTGTGGTTTTAGCCTACCCAGAAGTGGGGAGTAAATGTCTGTTTTTTAAGTGTCTCATTTTGAGCTCATCAGAGGTATCAGCCACTGGGAAGGGACATTTGTTAGAAGTCGTCCCTCAATCAGCTGGACACATGTACCCTAGTGTCCAGAGAAGGAATGCCAGGGTCACAGAATCATCAGTTTTGGTGTCTGACCCTGCACTTTGCAGAACAAGACAGAAGCCCAGAGGACACTGAATGCATCTCAAGTTCACAGAGTTAAGGGGCAGCCTAAGATCCAGGTCCTACCTCTATATCTGTCAATCAGCTCCCAAGCAAGGCTCAGGGTTTCCCAAGCCTTTGACATCCACAATTTACAAGTAGCGATTCATGGAGAGAACTAATAGTTCTTGCAAGTGCCCTTCACTTCCTCTTTATTGAGATTCAAATAAAGGCTTGCTGACTTAGTCTTAGATGAGGACATAGAAATTCCTCAAGTGAAGCTGGGAAAATCCTTTCATGAAATTTCAGCTTTAAAGTGTTGGCGAAACCAAAAGTTCTCCAGTCTTTTCTAACCCCTGCATACTTGAACTTGAAATAATCAATTATGTCTCTTTCTATAAGCTGTTATAATAATCAGGAAATTCGGGTTGTTATACTTTCCACAAACATGTTCTGTATTTGTAAATGACATTTCATTAGCTGACTCATTTTTATTAAGCTGGAGTTCGGAGAAGCATCTGAAGCCCATGGATAATGAATGAAGAAATGAGACTAGGAAGGAGAACTCAAACGCAAGACCTTCTGCCAGATTTTACAGATGCTGCCGTCCTAGATACAGAAGCTCTGAGTGGGAAGAAGCATCATTCCCTTCTCCAAGGAGGAGATGGAGATTCAGAAATATCACCTCTTGTTATCCAGCTAGACACTGGCAAGCAGACGGTCACTGCATGACTCCAAAATCAGTACGATTTTTATGCTTAGAGTTGCTGTTTTGATAAAAAAAAAAACTCAATAAAAAACAGACCCTTTGTGGCGAAGGATTTATAAACTGGAGCTAGAATATGAAGACCAAAAATGTTTTGCTTTAGCTAAGTAACTATCATTTTTAAATCAACTTCTTAGGAATTCAACTGACTGGTAGTATACATCTTCCATACAATCCAAAGAAGTGGAGCCCTTCCCTTCTGCCGCTTGCATTTCTCCATTAGTATGAGCTGGCATTTCCTGCCTTCGAACAGACAGAAACTGAAATGCATGCGAGAAGCCAGGTCAGAAGAAAAATAAATACACTTCTATCACTGAGAAGTAGATTGCTCCTTTGTGTTACAATAACAGTTTCCTAAAAGTAAACTACGAGAAGGCTAAGTTTGGTGGTAAAAACGAAAAGAAAAAAGAAAAACAAACACCTAAATTTCCTAAAAAGTGACAAGAGTTTCTTTGGAGATGTGTATTTTTCTAGATTTGAAAGCAGAGGTTACATTTGTTTCATAAACCATAATTCTGTAATAAATAAACCAATAAATACACTGACATTTTAGAAAGACATTCACTTTTTACATTTATAATCAGATGTATGTCACACATAGACACATATTATAGTAACTACATAAAAAAGCTACATTCTTGCTTAATATATTTTTTCTTTCATCAAGCTATATATGAAGGTAATTATAAATCAATTCACAATGAGAAAATTAATGATGTGGACTGCTTTCTGAATTCTTCACACTGCAATGTATTCAGAAACTGAGGTGAGAGATCAACCCAGATCCTCCATTCCTGAGGTTTCCCAGCAAGTGAGATCAAGCAACCTTGACATGGCAATGCAGGCCCCAGTGGGCACACACCATGCCACCAGGAACGAAACATGATAGTCTTCAGCCAAATATAAAGTTACCCCATTTCAATTGTTTTCCTAGAACACATGAGTATCCATAAATTTGCCATTTTAAAATTATTTAAAATAGTTTTAAATGTCAGCATCTGAAATATCAATAAATATACATCTTAATGAATATTTTTCATAGTCTACAGTTAGTTCAGGCTGATCTGGAAAGAAGTGTCTTTACAATCAGTTATAGATTATGTGAAAACTATGACAATATTTTTTTCCAGTGGGAAGGGGAAGAAATCTAATTGTAATTTCCAGTAACAGAAATCTCTTTAGGTCTCTGGTGTAATATCTGAGAAAGCACCTCATAAACCCTCTTCCTCTCCCTGAATTTCCCAAGGATATCTGGGCTGTGTGGGTTTTGTATGTCACAAAAGCAGGCTTTACAGTAGCACAAAAACACTGCTGCTCGGCCTCACAAACCAAAGGATAAAGATGCTGCAAAGGCCACTGGAAAGATCAGTGAGGAAGGAATTTAGCCAGACCTTCTTGTGCTGAGCTTCTCCATCAATACCTTTGCCACCATCTGTGCCCACTCTATGCAGCCAGCACCAGGGGCAGGCGAGTGAGGGTAAATGCTGTTACTCTTACAGAAGAAGCAGGAAGGCAAAAGCAAGACTTTTGAAAGCTTGCCCGGCCGGGCGCGGTGACTCATGCCTATAATCCCAGCACTTTGGGAGGCTGAGGTGGGTAGATCGTGAGGTCAAGAGATCAAGACCATCCTGGTCAACATGGTGAAACTCCATCTCTACTAAAAATACATAGATTAGCTTGGCATGGTGGTGCTGTAGTCCCTGCTACTCAGGAGGCTGAGGTGGGAGAATTGCTTAAACCCAGGAGGCGGAGGTTGTGGTGAGCCAAAATCGTGTCATTGCACTCCAGCCTGGGTAACAAGAGTGAAACTCATCCGTCTCAAAAAAATAAAGAGCATACCCAAGTGGAATTTTATGTAACAGGTTAAAGTGTCAAAAGAAATATGACCTGCAAAGGCAGGAGAAAAAAAAAAAAAAAAAAAAAAAAAACGTGCATTCGCTTTTATTCTCTCTACATTGGTGCCAATGCTCTGACTATGGCTTTATATAGTTTCTCAGCCCCCAGGGTATATCTGGTTAAGCCCCAGTGTTCTATACCTTGGTGTAGGCCTGGCATGGGGATACCATTCTGTGTCTCAAACCAAATAGAGTGCCATAGATAAGCAGGTTAAAGGCTTTGTCACTCAGAAATCAGAACAGAAAAACTCCTGGGACAGTTTATCTCATACATGAATACTTAATTCACGAAGCCTCCAGGCTACTCTTTAGTTCCAGTATTTTCTCCAGATATTCTAACTAAATTGAAACACTTGCATGATTTGTAGCACCTAGTGTGTGCAGAGCATCTAGTACTTGACCATGCTGTGTTTACAGAGTACTTAGTGTTTGCAGAACATATAGTGTCTGCCAAGAATGTAATATTTGCAGAAGATCCAGTGTGTGAGAGGATCTAGTGCATTCAGAGCATCTATTGTCTGGGGAGCATGTAGTGTCTAGGAAGCATCTATTGCCCTGGGGAGCATCTATTGTCTGGGGAGCATGTATTGTCTGGATAGCATCTATTGTCTGGGGAGCATCTAGTGTCTGGACATGTCATATTTATAAAGCATTTAGTATCTGCAGAGCATAAAGTGTTTGCAGAGCTTCTAGCATGTACAGAGCACCCAGTGTGTGAGACCATTTAGTGTTTGTAGTGTACAAAGTGTGTGTACCTAGTGTGTGCAGAGCATTTATTGTTTGTAGAACATCTCGTGTGTACAGAGCGTTTTGTGTGTATTGAGTCTGAACTCTCCGGCTGGGTGTGAGGAGGCTACTCACCACATTGCAGCCTGCACAGTCAGGCCCATTCTCACAGGTCCTGCGACGAGCTTGAATGCCACCCCCACACTGGGCTGTGCACCGTTCCCAAGGACCCCAGCCTGTCCAGAACATGTGTGGGGGACACAGCAAATGTTCATTGCAGTATCTGTAATGAGGAAACCAATAGGAAAAGGAAACTAATTAGTGCCACTGGAGACCAGGATGTCTCTATCTCCATCCCTGCACCAGATGCGGAACACATGGGCATGCTCTGCGTGGAGGGGCTTGCTGTACTTGGAGCAGCTGCATGTACAGAAGGCAGATGTGACGCTGGCCATGCTGTGTGTGCACAGACAATGGGATGTGCGGCAGACAGTGAAGAAAATGCTGAACTCACAATGCAGGATGAATCTTCCTGTGCAGCCAATTAAAAGAAAAACAAAACAACACCCTTCAAACAGACACCCAAAAATAAGAGTATACAGAAAATACTTAGGTATGGCATTTATCTTCTGAACATAAACATTGAAAGACAAAGCAGGTTACAAATACAAAGTCAGCACAGCTTTACTTGGAATTCCTTTCTTGTTCTTGAATCAAATAAGCCCAGAGTTATATTAAGGTAAGTTAAAGGAAAGTTACGGCATGGGATTAACATGAAGGCCCATGTTATATACTACTTAGGCTATCCTACTTTTAAATTTACTTGTAGGCTCTCAGAATAGTGCCAAACAATGTAAAAGACCACTAGTTATTCAAAAAGAATTGAATTATTATGCAACTTTACAAGTATTAGTTCAATTTTTCAGTGTTTGAATATACTTCTAAACTTCCACATACATATTCATTTGCCAAATTTTAGCCAAATATCCAAAGCCTCCTTTATCCCTATCATGAGTCACATTTCTCTTCAATTTTTAATACTGCAAGTGAAATGAAGCGAAGTGAGGAAAACAAACAGACAAACAGCAAGAAGGAAACAGCCTGACATTCTGCAGGGTACAACTCGTGGGAAGAAGGAGGTGACTCTGAACAGCACCAAATGCAATAAGACACACTCGGCGATTAAAGAACTGCTGTAATTCTATAATCCATCCGCTAAGTCTAAGTTCCCATATTTACCTTTTAGGGAATACTAGAATGCACAACGTTTTCTCATGTCCTCCTCTCTTGCCAGGCCATCTGCCTTAAGAAACAAGAGGCAAACTTTCCCATCTGTTGGCGTCCGTCAGTCACCTTTACCTGCATCAATATTAACAGAGACTTAATCCTGCAGGGCCTATGCAAGAGGAATTGTAGAGGGCTTCCTGATAACAGGCGTTCACAGTCTAAGATGAACGCAGGGAAATGCACACAGCTCAGAATGTGCAAAACTATCTTAATACCTAGTGGCATCACTGTAGTTATTTATGCAGAAGGAAATGCTTTTCTGGAACTGAAAATGAGGGCAAATGGTAGCCAGCCATTAGGAAAAGAAATTTGCAAAGTATAGTTTCCTGACAGTCAATGCTGATAAGATGGAACTGTTTTTCTGTCAAACCAGAAAAATTTCATGGGGACTGTGAGGGCTTCAGGAACAGGGACAGTGTGAAAAGAAGAAAGTAAGGCCAAGCTGAGGGGTGACAACAGGATGGGGCACACTGAGCCCATCAGTGTTCTGAAAAATAATGGAAGGTAGAAATGGAAAGAGTAAAGCAGGAAAGGTCACTGAGATGAACAGAACAGAAAAAGGGAACAGGGAGGTGGTCACTACAGTCTCCCAGAGTCCGACTCTCAGAGCTCAGGGCCACTGGACATTCCTATATGTAGTAGGGGAAGGGGAAGGACCCTCTAATTAAGAGGGCATGGCCTCTAGATAGCAGAGACAAGACAAAAGTGAGACCACGATAGATGAAAAGAATTCATCCTTAGGAAGCATGTGTCAATGTGTCGAGTTACAATAAGTGAGTATTAATATGTGTGCTGGTTCATGGAGTATTCCAGGAGGAAACTGACACCTGGTTTGAGAAAACATTTTGAGGAAGTCAAGAAAACTCAGAATATAAGGACTGTCAGCATTTAGCGGGATGATCTGTCTTTACCAAATACAGTGGAAAACTAGAACTTTATGAGAAATCAGGTAAGTTCCACAGAGCTCCAGAGATAAAATAACTCCATGAGAATTAGGTGGTAGACTCATCTCCAGGAGTTGGTGCCTCATCTTGACTATGCACTGGAGCCCCTGAGATTCGAGGAGCTTCTCATATTTCAGTATGGGGTCTGCATCTCCCCAGACAGGAGAGTTTAGCAGCAGGAAGAGCACACAGAACAAACAGCGACTAGAGATGCTGGACTGCAGCAATTCAAATGAGAGATACTTTAAGCTAGATAACTACCATGATGTTGAAAAGAAGGGGAAGAAGTGATGCAGATGGGGCTTGGTACAGAGAAAGTACAATATGGCAACTGTGTGAATGCACGAAAACAAAACAAAACAAAAAAAGTGGAGCCCAAGTCAGCCTCTTAAGCGAAAGTGGAAGGCAAAAGTCACTGCTACTTCCTGGGAAAGACAGCTGACATGTAGCGGGTGAAGGATCCTCCAGAGAGTCAAGAACTAATCAGGTAAGCAGTTTAGTTTGTCTAAACTTTCAGATTTGAGAGTAGCCAATGGAAGGGGACAGTTATCACTCTTCCTCAGCTTTTCCGCATTTAAGATAACAGAAACTCTAGGTTTCCCTCCTTCAGTGGTCACTACAGTCTCCCAGAGTCCGACTCTCAGAGCTCAGGGCCACTGGACATTCCTATATGTAGTAGGGGAAGGGGAAGGACCCTCTAATTAAGAGGGCATGGCCTCTAGATAGCAGAGACAAGACAAAAGTGAGACCACGATAGATGAAAAGAATTCATCCTTAGGAAGCATGTGTCAATGTGTCGAGTTACAATAAATGAATATTAATATGTGTGCTGGTTCATGGAGTATTCCAGGAGGAAACTGACACCTGGTTTGAGAAAACATTTTGAGGAAGTCAAGAAAACTCAGAATATCAGGACTGTCAGCATTTAGTTAAATTATCTGTGTGTAGCTCACTGTGGGTAGCACGAGAAGTAGGCCATGTCCATTTCTAAGCTGATTCACCAGCATTTAAAAGGTATGAACTTCTTAGAAACCTCGATTCTAATTTCAGCTGTCAACAGGCCCCCCACTTCTAAAGAACAAATACAAAAAAGGGTAAGGAAGGCAGAGAAAAACCTTACTAAAGATGTTTATTAAACCTTTGACTGTCAATAAAAAGCACAGCAACTGAGCTACCGTTTCCCCAAAGCAAAATAAACCACAGTGCTCAAATTGTTTCTCTCACTTGCCGACATCAGGCCACCCCTGAAAACGCTCAGCATGTTATTACTGTGAAAATCTACTGCGGGGTAACCTGTGCGTGGAGCAGGGAACTTTCAACCAGTGTTAATAAATCGTCTACTGAGCTGCTATTTTAAGGTTGTCAATCCTGCCTTCTTTTTTTTCCCTCTTTCTTCTATAGTAGTCCATGAAACAAGCCATACCAGGATCTGCTAGGGTATCATCCTCTGAAATTGCAGCCTCCCCAATAAGAGAGGTCAGAGGGAAATAGAAATGGCTAGGCCAGCTCTGTTTCTTTGTATGTGGGTTTTCACTAAGGAATTCACGCTGGAAGAGTGCTCAGAGGCAAAGCCTTCAGAAGCCCGTAAGCATGGATCCTCCACAATTGTGAGAAAGCATTTCCTCTCACCCTCTCCCGGCTCCCACCCCAACTAACTCATGCTCCTGAGAGAAGCCCCTCTTATGAAGCTATACAAAAAACAATGATGTTGAAAGTCCATGACCTTGATATCTCTGCTGGTTAAGGGTTTTTTTAATTAATTTGTAGATAAAATATCTACACAATGGGCCAGAAGTTGGTTTCCCTTTCTCTAGTCCCCAACATGCTGCTGCTGACTGTTAGCAAACAATGGGCTCAAATGTTTTCCAAATGTTATTGGCTCTTGTGTGTCTTCTAGTATGTGAAAGTATTGTAAGTCACAGACACATCTCATGATGCATTAATAATTAAGATTTTAATTTTGCCCATGACTGCTTATTATCATGTTGCATTTAAAAGCAAGTTAATGACCCAGCACTGTTTCTCTATAAATTATCCACTTTTTTCACAAATCTAGTCCCTTATGAAAATAATGACCTTTTATAATTCCACATGGACTAGATATTCAGCACTATGTCATGCTGTAAATTGTTCTTTCTCCTATAAAATATAAATTGCATAATTTGTGTTCCATTCTTGTTAGGTCCAAACTAGTTGCTCACTGCAAACTCTGTTAACCTGAATCAATGAGGGCCTCTTCTGAACTATTGTCTCCTTACTTCACTCCAAATGATCAGCCCTTTACTGGGCCATACTTCCATAATTAAATTTTTATGGCAACAGAGAAACTGCATGTACATAAAGTCTACCATAATATTCAATTCAATCCATTTAGGAAGAAAAATAACTTGCGAAGAACATCACTTTGGCTCACCACAGGACTCAGCCAATATATTGCTGAAGACAAATAATCACATAATAAAAACCATTGATCTCTGGGACTCTTTGAGAATGCATTGGACAGGCTCTAACATGTTTCCTGTGATCCCCAGCTCCTAGAATTCACACCTTGTGTAATCTCCTCCTATTGAATGTGAGTAGGACCTATCACTTGCTTCTAACCAACAGAATATGTGAAAGATGATATAATGTCACTTCTGTCATTATGTTACATAGATTGTAACACTCTTACTTCAAGAAAACTTTCTGCCTTATTGGCTTTGAGGAAGCAAGCAAAAAGATGAGAAGGACTCAGTTGTCAAGGAATTGAGGGGAGTCTCCGTCTACCAGCCAGCAAGAAACGGAGGCCCTCAGTCTGACATCCCACGGAATGGAAGGCTTCCAACAGCCACATGACCTGGAGGCAGGTCCTTCTCCAGCCGAGCCCCACTGACATCACAGACAGGGCCTACATGTTGATCGCAGCCTTGTGAGAACCTGAAGCTTTGCCCAGACTACAAAACCCACAGACACCACAAGCAAATAAACACCTGGTGCTTTAAATGCCTAAGTCTGTGGTAATGTTACCATATGACAACTGTTAAAACAGACCATGGTAGCTGGAAGTCTGGTG